CTCTTCCCTAAACCGGGCTACAAAATATTCCCAAGACATAGTCTATAATCCCAAAATTGAAATAGGTCGCACAATCAATCCTTACCACCTGATACAAGAGATCCAAGGCAAACCGGTCCTCACAAAATACTTATTCCACATCGACCCACCTGCGCTGAAATAATATCGCCAATCCCTGCAACCAACTGACCCCGAGCTGGAATACAACCCGATCTTGGGGTCACAAGCCTGCTCACTCCTTCGAGCTAGAAAAACTGAAAGGGCACAACCCTTGCCATAGGTGATAAAATTCTGATCAACCACTCTACTTTCCATCCTCTAATGAATCCCTGAACTCTAATCACCTACAATCCTTTGATAATAAATTTCTCTTGACATCTCCAATGGCCTAACAACTCATGAAACTCCGCAACACATAGATCAGACAGAACATGCAACTAACCCGAAATTACTGCTTATCCATACTCAACAATATTCCAAGACAAAATAAATACCAATCACGGACGACTTGACCACAATATTATTACAGAATGGGGTTTTCTAATTACATACCAGAGACTTCTTGCGGCTCGACCTTGACCTCCTGAGGAACGATGATCGCTGGAATCTGAATTCCTTCCGTCCTCAACGCAGGACAGCTGGACCTGAAATGACCTGGCTGGTGATAGTGAAAGCATATCTGATTCTTCTTGCAATCCTGTTGCACATGCCCTCTCTCCCCGCACTTGTAGCACCTGAATTTGTGACAAGCAAATCCGTGGGTTCCCCCACACTTGCTACACACCTCCTGACCCTCCTGACTTCCAGTACTTAGGTTATCTATCTCCAACTCGTCGTCCTCTGCTGAAAAGTCCCTCCTCCTCTTTCCTAGTTGTGACCCCACCACTGGCACTCCCCCAGTAGTCATCCCGGTAGCAACATCTCTCACAGATTGCAACGCTGCAATTTGCTCCTCGAACTTGGCGATCACCCTGGCAGTGACCCGGTCCACGACACCGAACAATTCTTCTCGCAAAATATGAGAAACCTCAACGGAAATCATCTCCCGTATCTGATCGACGGACAATACTGGCCTATCCTGGCCACTCGCTCTCGATCCTGATCCGAATCCCGCCTCAAATCGATTTGCCATTACCATACTGAACATATACCAGGAAGATATTAGATAATCCGCATACACGACGGGGAACCTACTCCTGACCGAACCCTAGGGGTTGTGACTTCCTTGACACGCGTATGGGTCCTGTGCTTTCAGTAGTACGGGCCCATACTACCTTCCACACCTACCCATATTTGTCTCAAGTATCACCACAACTCCCTACAATATACATATACATAGCGAGCGCTCGGTCCTCACTCCTAGAGGAATGATAAATATCTCATAACTGGCCTCCCGGCCTCTCACTACCCACCCATCCACCAACTGCCACGCGACCCTCCATTGGTGCCAGTTAACTATTGCATGAATACAATCACATATCGCATGACTTAAACAGTCTTAGACTAAAAGATTTAATCCCACAACGGTTGGACTCAGATAAGAGTTGTGCAGCAGGACCAAATCCCTTACCCTAAGACCACTTAACCCTTGTAGCATGTGACTTAGAGTATTCACCCAATAGTTAGTTCACACACGAAAGAGTCACAAACAATCAATGAGGTACTCTACATAAGAAAAGGCATCAGAGATCAGGAAATTCTATCATATGATTCCTGAGGATCCGTATATTATTACTAGCATGCCGTTCTAACATATCACATAATATCAAATAACTTGCATGGTATTTTGGGGTTTACTTACTGGCTCCGGCTGATCGTACACTTGCATCCTCCTTTATTATTTGAAAACCATTCGAAAATTATTTTGAAAACATTTTCCTAAGTTTGAGACTGAATTCACACGAATGTTCCTCCAATTCACTCAAACCAAGAATCTGATACCAACTTGTAACACCCATAAAATTCAGGCCAATTTAAAACTTTTAAAAACATTTCAAACCATTAAAAATCATTACAACTTTGTTTTCAAATTGTATAATATCAGAGTTTCCTAGAAACATAAACAATTCATGAGGAGTTGTACGATCATGCCTTCGCCTTGCCGCGATCCCCTGATGTACCTGAAACAATAAACTGAAACTGTAAGCTCGAAAGCTTAGTGAATTCCCCCAAAATACCCATACCCACAATAATACACATATAATCGTGAACAACATACTATGGGTCCAGTCAACCATCGGGTTGGAATACCCCAGTCCCTCAACCATCCGGTTGCAATGCCAACATACTATGGGTCCAATCATCCTCGGGATGGAATACCCCAGGCCCTCAACCATCCGGTTGGAATGCCAACATACTATGAGTCCAGTCATCCTCGGGATGGAATACTCACGGCCCACAACCAACAGGTTGGAATGCCCAGGTCTATTGGCTTTCGCACAAAGCAGATAAGCCTCAACCGCCAAACAAACATGTGCACATATAGCATATAATCACATAATAATCTATAGACAACAACTGATCTAACGGATCGTACCACATACCACATAATATTATCCTACCCTCTAGGATACCGAACTAACAGGTCATACCACATGTCACACAATGTCATCCTACCCTCTAGGATGCCGATCTAACAGATCATACCAACATAACATAACCAATAACAATTCAAAGGGCCGACCTTGGTGCCTTAGACCCTTGAGTATAGTGAGGATAACTCACCTCACAATGTCGCACTGAAAATGATAGGCTCAAACTCTCGAATCACCAACACGAACTCCACCACCTATAGTTACCATAAAACCCTTTTTCCATAAATTTCCAAATTACCAAAATGCCCCCAGAGGTCAATTGATCAACCCTTGGTCAAAGTCAAAGTCCACAGTCAAAGTCAACAGTCCATGTTGACCCGACTCGTCGGGTGTAGTTCACCGACTCGTCGAGTCCTTCCTGAACTCGAGAAGTCGTGAAATCCTTGGTTGACTCGCCGAGTTCCCCTATAGCTTGCCGAGTTCATGCGTGTCCAAAGGTTGGGAAAAACCCTAGCCGACTCGCCGAGTCATTCGAATGACTTGCCGAGCCCAATGCAAACTTCATCGGACTCGCCGAGTTGTTCATCAACTCGGCGAGTTCATGACCATCTTCATATGACTCGCCGAGTCGACCTTGCGACTCGTCGAGTCCCTTCAATCCTTCATCCATACAGATGCTTTTAATCCATGCTAAGGCTCCAAATTGCAGGTCCATCTTCCCAAGGCATGTTTATCACGTAAAGTTGCAAACTTTACGTGCATGCAAAGCTCTAATGCCTTAAAATGACAAAAACCAAGCTTGCAAAGAAGTCTCACACTAGAGGGAAGGTTCATGCTTGCCAAAGCTGAAACTTTATGGACTTAGAGTCCAAGGAAAGTCCAGATCTGAAGTTACAACTTCAGATCTTAGCTTATACCCATGAATGGCTTCTTATTATACTAGAAAAGCCTTAAAATCCACCCAAAAGAGATCTAGAATGAAATGGGGGTTAAGATAACAGCTTAATACCTTCCCAAAAGATGCCAACTGAAGTAGATCTTGATTCCCACGAGTTCCTTGCTTCAATCCACTTGTTTTCCCCAAGCTCTTTTTCCCAAGAATCCTCTTCCAAAGCTTAAAACACACAATGGAGCACACACACACACACGTATTAGGGTTTGGCTGAGCCCTCAAGGGACTGTAAAGAGGCTGAAGGAAGCTTATGATTCTTTAAATAGGGTGCAAAACCCCAGAAATTAGGGTTTCACCCTCCAGCTCCAACTCGTCGAGTCACTCTTCCGACTTGGCGAGTTGGTCACTTAAACACGTGTCCCAAACCCGCTATTACTCGACGAGTCAGGGCATCCAACTCGTCGAGTAGACCTTGAAACTTGAAAATTAAAGCCACAATATTAATACCTGAGAATCGGGGCGTTACATCAAGTTAGTTGATTTATTTAATCCTTAATTATTAACCTAAAATATAAATTAAAGCTAGGATCCATATTTTCGATTCAAATTCAGAAGAGGGATGTTGTAATCAAATTCGAATCTATTTTAGGTAGGTAAGCATTTACCAGTTTCAATCTAATGAAACTCCTAGATCTTTTGAGATTCATTGAACTATTCAATGGCATGTTTAATCTCGATTATGCTCTCACTTTTGTGACTGGGATGCCGAGGATCACAAACCAGATGTGAATAACTATGCAAATTAACTTGGTACTCTCGATGTCATTTATCATCTGAAATTAGCGTGTCGGTTAACTACGCGCTCCATTAACTCAATGATAATTTACGAGACACCCATTGCCAACAATACTAGTCCCATATTAGGGTGCCGGTTAACCACACACGCTCCACTAACGACCAATAAAGTGTAATGTGCAATTTCATGGGTTAGCATCAAATTCACATTTTTCCTAAAGTAACTAAGAATGAGATCTTAGAAAATGATTTAGTTACTTTATTTATTTCATTATACTTTTTTTTGAAAGAGACAAAAGTCTCAGGCAAACTTTATTAATAAAGAATAAAAGAATTACAACGAAAAAATAAAAACAACTTATAACCCACAGAAACCAAACCAAAGGCTAAACCCACACCAACCTATCCAAATCCACATGCTTAGCCATTTCCTACTACTGCCAACATACCAAACTCTAGCCCAAAAAAAGGAACCCTTAGCCCAAACAAACTCCTCAACCATAAGACAAACCACTCTACCACCTATCTCGAGAACAAAGTTCCCAAACACCAAACTCATAAACCAAACAAAAAACAACTCAATAAGACAATCCCAAAAAAGACTCAATCTACGAGACCATAAGAAAGAAGGCATAAACCAAATATAAAAAGACTTCCTTATACGGAACCAAATCCATAACCTTAAAAAACTGGAGTAGCACCACCAAACCAAATTATTTAACCACCAACAAAGCTCCAACAGCCCTATCCAAAACTGCACAACACCTCTACTAAACAGATCACACATCATGAGAGATAACCATATTTTTTGGACTAATCCCATCACGAACCTGATTAGAACATTCCATTCCCTCACCCTCCAACTTATTATTACTAACTTCAGAGGGTAACTTCTTCATTTTAGAATCTCCTTTGGAGTTAATAACATAATTAACCCCATGAGAATTAACATAACTCGGACCTGGATCAATATGAATTGAATTTTCCAGCCCACCAGAATCAGACTTAAAAGAATCAACTCGCTGGCTCATGAAATCATCCTCTAACCTGTCCACAATTTCATTAGTAATATCACTTAAAACAGCAAAACGATTCACTGTATTAACAAAATTGTTCTCCTTTTGGCTACCCTTCATACCCTTTCCCTTCTTCACTTTTTCCTCTTTTTTCCCAGAATCCACACTCTCTTTCCCATTATTCCCCTGCTTATCTACAACGAAAGGTTTATTATTAGCAGCAACAAACTCCTGGTTCTTTTGATGATTCCAATGGCTAACACTCCCCCTATTCCAATTCCCACTATGACTTCTGTTATTCCAGCCTTTATTACCCTTGTTACCACTATTATAGCTTCCTCTTTTGTTATTCGCACCATTCCAATTACTACCTTTGGTTCTAGAGACATTGGCCTGAACATCACCTGTACCGTACCCCTTCACAGCAGCAGTCCCTACATTTCCAGCTTTTTTCGTAACCATAGTGTACCCCTCACCATCTTTATCAATCACATCCTGAATATCACTCTTGACAGCAGCATTTTTCCCATTTATAACAGCCAAACAGATAGAATCATCATGCCCATATACTTTACAGGAGGAACAACGCGAAGGTCGCCACGCATATTCAACAACAAAATTTTGAATAACAGCTTTATCCAAATCAAAATCCCAAGTACCAACATCAATACTATCTTTCCACTATTTATCAGCCGACATATCAACTAGGATCCTCGCATAAGCACTTCTCCCCTTATGCTCAATACACATATCTTCTGTGAAAGAATCAAAAGCCAAAGGAATACCAATCTTACTAGCAATGATGCAAAGATTCTCAGCACTCCACGCTTCCAATGGAAGATCAAAAATCTTGATCCAAACAGGAACACTTTTATGGGATTCCTTAGTGAGAGCCAACCCCGGTCGCCACCGCTGAATAAACAAGGGATATTTATTGAGAATAATCCAAGGGCTATTATCTAATATCTGCCTCATTCCTTGTTCTGAGTTGAATTTAAAGAATAAGAAACCTTTACTATTCATGAAAACATCTTCAAGACCCATATTCTTCCACATTTTCCTAACTTCTGCACTAATCACTGGAAACCCAATCTTCTTGTCAAGCAAATAACCATACAAGGTATTCATAAAAGGAATACTAGCCTTCTTCAGATTATCAATTGGCAAAACAACAAGCCCCTCATCAGATCCATCAATCGGAGGAATAAACTTAACTTGCAACTTCCGTTTATGAGTTCTACCATTTAGAGCTCCAGCATATGATATCTTCTGACCAGAATCAACTTTATCCGTAACATCAATCAAAATTTTCTCTCCTTCATAATTAGAAGCATCCATATCCTGCCTTCCCTTACTAGCATCACCTAGAATAGAAGGCTCCAGGTTGATGTTATTAATAACCGTGACAGTCTTCTTCAAAGACAAATGCATATAAGAGCTTAAATTTTGTGGACCATTATCCTTGATCTCCCCTTCTTCTTTACTCAAATAAACATCAGAATCAACCACCAAATTACCACTATCATCCCATTTATAAGATTTATTCAGATAATCTAAATCACCATTATTCTCAACTAAATTCTCCCTTTCCATAGTCTCATCACTTAGAAATTTAAACCCAATACCAGGTATAAACTCATTCTCTGTATCATCTGTCCCTTTTTCCTCTTCATTCATCTCCTTACTCTTTACAGAAATACCAATAACCTCAACCTGAACACCATTCTTATTCATCTCAGGCGAAGAATCAATACTAACAGCAATAGGAGGACTAACATTAATCATATGACTCTTCACATGATTAACATCAGAATTAGGGCTAGAAAACACAACCGCATCCTTAGGAATTTCCCAATTCTTAGATAAATTTGCAGTGTTACCGGAAGGAATAGAATCCTCTAGAATGATCGGAGGCAAAACCTTGGTCACTTCATCCATAACATTGGAACTAGAACCCTTGATCGAAGCTTGACAAGCAACCTTAGAAGCACTAGAATCGGATTCCCACACACCATCAGATTCCGAAGCATCCTCCCTTTCTTCTTCTGTAACATCATCCACATAGTAATCCTCAGCATCCATGGGAGTTCTGAGAAGAGAATCGCCCCGATTAGGTTTCCTAGCTTTATGCAAACCCTCCAATTTCCACTCCGCTTTCCCAATACCCGACACAACAGCTCCAGTAGCACTTGATTTTCGTCGAGTACGATAGATAGTAGCCGAAGACTGATCAACAACCCCAGGAGGAATAACATCGCTTAAATCAACCTTAGTTCGCACAAATCGTCCCACCGTACCTTTATCAGGAGGCTTAACCTTCACATCCTTCAATCGATCCTGCTTAGAAGAAGCTCCCATCGCAACAACGGAAATGATGAGAAAATACTTCAGCAATGAGACGAAAAATCTCACCGGTGAAGCAACAACGACGAATCAAGCAAAAAACGCACCACCGATCAGAGAGAATTGTAGAGAGAGAAAGGGTAGAGAGAGAAAGCGTTTTTTTTCTCTTTCATTGTCATCATATTTTTTTTATTTCATTATACTTATTAATGAGAGTTTAGAGTTCTATCAAACCCGTTCGGATAACGACCCTCCACTAGTCAAGGGTGCGGTGGGTAAGAATGGATATCCAATGGCGGCCATTTTACATGTCGCTTCCTTAAACACCCCTTATAGACGAGCATCGTGAATGAGGCCTACTAACTGTAAGACTGACTTTTCTTATAAATATATATATATATATATATATATATATATATATATATATATATATATATATATATATATATATATAAACTTTTTAATATTATATAGTATAAGGGTGTATTTTAAACTTTTAAAATACTAGGGGTTTAATCTTTTAGTAAATTAAACTTTTAATTTGATTATTATAGATTTATTAATTAACTTTTAATTAAACATTTAATTAAATTATTAACAACATCCATAAGGATGTACTTTAAACCTTTTAAAATACCAGGGTTCTTAAATTTAAGATTTCAAAATTAAACTATTTAATTAAATTTTAAATTCCGAAACCAAGGGGGTATTTTTAAACTTTTCAAAAATACTAGGTTAATTTTTTAATAATTAAATTAACTATTAATTTTATCTTTATCGAAAATTAAACCAAATCATATATTTTGATAAGGATATCCAATTACCTTTAAAAAAAATCAATTTTAGGCAGAAAAAACGAATTAAGGTAATAATCATAATCAAGCCAAGATAACAATTATCAAAATCGAAAAATCAGGGATCTGACAGGCCAACTCGTCGAGTCTGTGTAATGCACTTGTCGGGTTGGGCCAACTCGTCGAGTTCCAAACATGAACTCGTCGAGTTCTATGAACAGAATGACGATTCTTCTCCCTTCTCCTTTGAACGATTCACAATTGCATCAAGTTCAATTGAAAACATCCTAGGCTCTGATACCACTGATGGGTTATGAGCATAACTACAAATCCTATGTGTTCATGCAACCCTATAATTAAGGATCTAGGTTTTCACTAGTTAAACATGCAAACTTGAATACAAAAGAGAAACCCTAATATGCATCTATGAAAAACAAAATTAACCTAAATATAGGGTTTAGATACATACCTCAATTGTTATGTAGTAATAACAATTAATCCTTGTTGATTCTTGAACTCTTGAAAGCAAGTGCCTCAAATGTAACACCTCTAATGGCTTACAAACACTCGTTGCAAGATGATGAGAGGAGAGAGGAGGGAATACTCTTAGAAATTCGGCTCTTCTAGGGTTAGAAGCATTGGGCCGAAAATCCAAGGGGTTAGATCCTTTTTTATACTTGAGGTGGCTTAGTCCCAAAGCTAGGGTTTTCAGGTGGAAACCCTAATTTCCTGCTTAAGGCCTAAGCAACCCATGGACTTCCCATCAAGGTGCCTTGGACGAAAACTTATAGGGCCACCCTATAATTATCGTCCACTCCTATCCAAGGGGTCCAAGAGCCCAGTTCCACAACTATCAATGATTTGCAAAACAGTCCCTGTACTTTTAATTAATTCATTTAATCCCAAAATTAATTCCAAATCAATTTCTGATTAAATATTAATTAAATAACATGATTTCTAATTAATATATTATTTTCATAACTTATTAATAAATCATTCATATAATTTATTATTCCAAATAATAAATTCAACTTCTATCCAAAAGTCATCCTGTCAAGTTGTAAGAGTGAAGGCAACCCAAAAGGACTTGTGCTTCTATCAATTCAAGTATATAGTAGTTATAGTTATGGCATTAGACACCTAATCCAACACATACGATATTTTTTAGAACAGAGGAATATTTGATCACTTATCTAAGGACACGTAACTGACTAGGTCAAAGTTCGACAACTGCTTTGAGAGCTACAATTTGCTGGTCAATTTTTGAAGTTATACTTGCAATTATAGTTATTAGACTTATCCAAGTGAGAGACTGTTGGATTAGGTGTCTAAGCCTATAACTATAATTGGTATATACTTGAATTGATAGTAGCATAGACCTTTTGGGTTTCCTTCACACTAGCAACTAGACAAGATGATAGATTGAGGAAAAGGTTGAATTTATTATTTGGAATAATAAATTCGTAGATCAAATGATTTATTAATATGTTATGAAAATAATATATTAATTAGAAATCATGTTGTTTAATTAATATTTAGTTAGAAATTAATTTGGAATTAATTTTGGATTAAAGGAATTAATTGAAAGTTTAGGGGCTGTTTTGCAATTAATTAATAGTTGTGGTTTGGGCTCTTGGATCACCCTAAGTAGGGTTGGCCGAAATTTCTAAGGGAGGCCCTTAGGATTTTGTCCAAGGCCTTAAGGAGGTGGATCCATGGGCTGCTTAGGGCCTAAGCTGGAAATTAGGGCTTCCACCTAGAAACCCTAGCTTTGGGGCTAAGCAACCTAACTATATAAGGAGCATCACCCCATCACGTTTCGGCCATGCTTCAAGAAACCTTAGAAGAGCCAAAATTTTACCTTCTCTCTCCTCCTCTCATAATCATCTTCTTGCTTGGTGTGTTTGTGAGCCATTAGAGGTGTGACACTTGTGACACTTGTTCTCAAAGTCAAGATCTTCAAAGGAAATCATTGTTATTACTAACAATAAATGTATGTTTCTAATCATTCTTATGTTGATTTTGAAAATACTAGGAGCATGCTAGGGTTTCTAGTTTTTGTGTCCAATGCTTGTATGTCTAATAGTGAAAACATAGCTCCTCAAATTAGGATTGCATGCACTCATAGGATTGTTTGCTATGCTCAAAACCCATCAGTAACACCCTGGAAAAAAAAGTTTAGTGACTTCCTAATTGCTTGGTATGTCAATTTTGACCGTTTTTCAGCAAATGGGTATTTTGTTCTTTTCAAATTAACCCCGAATTTTGACGATCTTTTTACAGCTGTTAAAGAGGAGGTTTCCTCCCTCAACCACCTTGAATTGCAGAATACAAAAACCTTATAACGCTTAGGGTTATGTCGCAAGGACTAATGACACGCGTCTCGACCTTCTATTAATTTATTAATCACTAATAAATGAACAAACTGGATCCCCAATAAATTCTCATGTCAATAATTGTTTAAATCTGTCATTGCATGTAACCCAAAAGAACTATGCTATTAATAGTAATATTACAACTGTTGTGAATGTGGACATTATTTCCGACCATTGAAATCATTATGACTAATGTATTTTCTTCACCGGATGTAATGTAGTTTATATTGCTCTTGAATAAAGTTTGTATTGGTATTAAATATAGTTGGTATTGTATTATAATAGTTACTAATATCAAAAATACAATGTTATTACCAAAACTAAGACAAGTAACACATGATTCAACTGCTCAGACGAGCCACATATGAGAATATATCTCTAATGATTGTCCCATATTGGATATCACGTGAACAAAACCTAAAGAAACTCGTCATAAGGTTTCATTATGTACAAAACAATAAGGACTTATTTTGCAAAAAAAAAAAAGTGTACAAAACAATAAGTCCAAATGCTTATTTTACAACAAAATAAATAAATAAATAAATAAATAACAATAAGGACTAAACAGGTAATTAATAACTGTATTTCCTATTTTTTATTATAATGAATGCTAATTTATGTCGAAATTAACAATTGGTAGATTTTGTAAGATAAATTAGAAACTTACACAATAATCTCGAAGTACACAGAGATAAATAAACATACAATTTATGAAGGTCGCTATCAAAAGCACGTTTATAATAGTTGGTTTTCAACAAGAAGGTGATGGACATAGGTACAATTTTTTTTAGGGGAGAACATATTAATAAAAAACCGAACCATAACTAAATTAACTGATATAACCGAATTATTTTAACAAAACCATTACTAAAAGATATGGTTCGGTTTCTAACTTTGATTAACCAAATACATATGGTTTGATTATGGTGTTCATATAAAACTGAACCGAACCAATAATATTAATAAATGTTTTTAATATAATATAACATTATGTATATGGTATGTAATTATATTAGGAACTGTAAATTTAAAGGGTAATTATTTGGAATTAGATATGATAAGTAGTCTTTTTTCAATACACTTATATATACATAATCATTCACTTTTTATAATGATAGACTTTACATTTTTCAATTTTTATAGAAAAATATTTTTATTTTTTTTGTTATCTTGGACGTTATGGTTAACCGATATTAACCATTAACCGACTAAAACCATTAACCAAACCCAATATTAACCGCTACTCAATGGTTATCGGAATACATTAACCATATGTAGTGGTTATGGTTTGGTTTTGACCGATAACCGAACCAAACCGCCCCATACACCCCTACAATTTTCTAATCCACAAGGTACAACTAATTCATCATTAAATAATATATATATATATATATATATATATATATATATATATATATATATATATATATATATATATATATATATATATATATATATATATATATATATATATATATATATATATATATGGAAAAGTGAATATGTGGCTTTCATATATGTAATATTAGGTATGAAACCATTAAAATTGACTTCATTTCACATTTTTTTTTCATTGTTAGCTTCTTTCTATTGCTTTTAAGCTCATATAAATTATTGATTTCATAATTTATCCCCAACATCTATCTATTTCGAATGTGCTGTTTATATTAGACCTCCAGTAGGCTTCATAACTTTCTTTGACACCTACCATATGTATACTTGCATGATTCTTTTTTGATGTGTTATGGAAAGAAGTTTATTGAGTTTTTAATGAACAATTTCAATCTTTCACTATAGTTTTCTATATTAAATTTGAATATGAAGACTTATCGGTAGTTGATAATGTATTCTTATACATGGTTTGTGGTGCAAAATTAAATATTTAAAACTTCATAAAAATATATACAAAGCCTATCATCTAGTCTAATAGAGGATATAAGAAAGATGGTAAAGAGATTTGATTGCATTTTGTTAAATCAACGTAGTTTTTGATGGCTCTATACTTAATATTAGATACATAACAGCCACATATTCCCTAAGCCCATATATATATATATATATATATATATATATATATATATATATATATATATATATATATATATAACTCCAGAATAGATAGAGATAATAATACAATAAAAAAAGTTCCAAGAAATTAGATTTTACGACGATTGAAATATTTAATATGAAATTGGTAATAAATTAATTAAAAACAGTTGTCAAGGTTACTTTCGGAATTTCATCAACACCTCCATGCTGAAACCGCCATGAGCTGGCGGTTTTGCCAGCAAAGCACTAGTGACGAGTGCCTCCTCTCTACATGAAACCTCGACCCCCGAGCTTGACTCCTCTTCACCACACAATCCGCCTGAGCTTCTGCAAAACTACTCATAGTGACCGGAAAATAACCACCGGTTGTGAAGAGCGTTTTCCAATGTGGCATTGGCTCCGGCGACTGAAGTTTTCCGGTCACCATGTTATTGATTTGTGGCTCCAATAGAAACATTTCGATCTTGTTGGCGGTGTATGGCGGCACGTTGGCGGCATCAATGGAGTCCAATAGAACTTCATAGTACTGGAGACCCTGGAGGAGATACTGTGGAAAGGGTAGATCTGTCCTTTCATTCCCACGATCGAGGGCCACCACTATCCGTGGTGAAACCTGTTTTATGAAGTGTAAAAGGGAGGGAATGGCGGGTAAACGGGTGGAAGTTGACCAGATTGGGAAATTCACAGCAATTGCATCGTTCCCGGAAACTGAAAACGAATTAGGATCGAAAGAATCTAAGTTTACAACTTCAAGTTGGAATGAAATTCCGATTTGGTGAGCGAATTGTGATAGATTTTCGTGCATGAGGCCGAGTTCCACCGGGTGGTGTGTTGATGGTGAGGCAAATGCAGTAATCTTCAAGGAACAACCAGCAGCAGCACCATTGTTGTTTTTCCTAGGAAGCTCTTGTATGAAGGAAGCCCATTGAGCACCGATTCCGATATCGAAATCAATGATGTGAATGTAATCGGAATCACCAAGGGCTTCAAGAAGTGTTTGATTTGAAGTAAAGTTGATAAACTGTATGATTGGAGAGACCTCAGAAAGAAGTTTATAAGCACACATCTTGAACATGCCATTGGAGAGTGTCGGAATTGGATTTGAAGTTGGTGTTAGAAACGCCATTTGCGTTTGCAGAGCTTGTTTGAAATAAAAACCGGACCTCTGAATGGGGTTATAATTACATGATGACATAGCTGAAGGTAGCTGGTGATTGAGCCGCGCCAATATCCCTTGCGCATGAGAGAAATTTCCAGACAGCATTAGCTCAGCTGCAGCAAATAGCTGGTCACAGATAAGCTGTTTCTGCGGTGGCGATGGTGGTTCTTGCTTTGCCACTGCCATTGCTGCTATCATTGATTTCTGTTGGTGGAGCGACAGTTGCTGATTTTGTTTCTTGAGTAGAAACTCATGACTCTGATCGAAAGCAGGAGGTTTTGGATGACAAGGATGGTGAAACGGCGGTGGGTTTTGAGGGGAGAGATTTAAGGGGATGGGAGGGGCATTTTCGTCAATTTGCAAGAGGGTAAAAGAAGTGTCATCAACGTCACCGGAGATCCACCGGAGAAGATCGTGGTCTTGCTCATGAGAACCACCGGATAACATGTCATCTAATCCAACCCCAAATCTTTTGTGTTGTAGGCAGAATTCCGCTGCAATGGGCTGTAGCTCCGACCAGTCGGCAAGATTTGCCACAGACTCAGAAATACGAATACCCATTTCCTCCGGCCATTTTTGGTGTATGTTGTTTACGTTGGTGGTGAAAGAGGAGGTAGAGGTGGAAGGGCTAGAGCTCCCGCGTGTGTCAAGAACAGAGATTGGTCCTCCATTACTATTATTGCTGCCTTCTTTCGAATTCGAATTCGAATTGCTTGATTGTATAACAAGTGCAGCTTCTTCATGTACCATTCCTCTCACCTATCATTTATATTTTATCAACCACCAAAACTGAAAAAACTAAAAATATATCAACAAATCTTGGTCTTTTTTGTCCAAAAATGATTTGTTTTTTGAAGCACTAAAAACAAAAAATCCTAATAAATAACAAGTCTTCAAGAAATATTGGGTCTTTTTTGCTCCACAAACTTCAAAATTATTTGGTGGATTAAAGAATTAATGATCGATTAAAACAGAAAAGCAAGTTAATCACCACAAAAAATCAAGTAAATAAAAACGAGTCAATTACCCAGATATGAACAATTTTAGTGTTTTCTTTTATCCAGATATGAACATTTTGTGTGGGTTCTTTAAGATCTAAAGTACGGGTTAATTAAAAAAAAATAAGAAAATTAACAAAATTAGAAGAACCAGTTTCAAGACATCTTGGGTTTTGCCAATCCAGAAATGAACATTTTTGGTGGGTTCTTCAAGTTATTAACCATTCAGATGATTAAACATAAAAACAAACCAAAAAAAAAAAAAGGAAAATTAACAACATAACAAGAACAAATATTCAAGAAAACTTGGAATTTGTGAAAAAAACAGAAAAGTAAAACCATATGAAGAAAGAAAATTAAGCATGAAGAAATCTTGTTCATAAGTTGAGATTTGAAATGGAAATTAAATGAGCACAATAATTTGAATCGATGAAGAAATAAGAGGAGACAACGCAAACCTTTTTATGTTGATCTATTATTATACATCAGCATTTGTCATTTGACCTCCATCTCCATGGGAATGTTTATTTGATTTTGGGGGTGAGCCGTGAATGTGGTGGGGTTTCAGTGTTGAGCCATGGATAGATGCGTACATCATAATCATAAATAAATAAATAAATAAATAAATAAAAAGCGAAATATAAAGTTCCTTCCTTGCTAGTTGCTTGTCCTTCTTTCACTCTCCGGTCTCTCTCACTCCTTCGCTTTCATAGTAAATATCGAATGCTCCCCACCAATTATGTATCCTGTAATTCTCCATCTTATTATTTATTTGTTTTTTAAATAGAACAAATTACTAAAATAATCTTTACGGTTTGTCAAAATTGCATGTTTTGTCCTTAATTTTTGTTTTGTATTAGGAGAGTCCTTGTAGTTTAATTTTGTTGTATTTTTAGTCCCTACCATACATAAAAAAAACTATAATACTCTTATGAATATTTTTTCGATTTTTTTATTTTTTTAAAAGACAAAAAATATACCTATCGTCTCTCTCTCTCTCTCTCTCTCTCTCTCTCTCTCTCTCTCTCTATATATATATATATATATATATATATATATATCCCTTACGTGACCCCACCTCTTTTCCCACTTAACTCGACCTTCTTCACTGATCCCAACTCGTTCTTGTTGATGTCATTTTTCTTCCCTTGCTTGAGGAATGTTGGGCCATATTTAGTGGTTTATGCTTTGTTTTGAATGTATTATGTTGTTCTCAGTTTTGGACCGAAATCACCTAGTGTTTTCAGTGGGCTTAGTGTGTTTTCGGTGGGCTTATTATGTATGGGCTTTAGTTTATTGGTTTAGTATAAATATGGTATGTGTATAGTCTTTTAAGGCTAATGCGTTTTTGGTGAATTACGAGTGATTACGATTGAAGTGTGATTGGATGTACTTGACAATTACTCAATAGAATTGTGTGCATTCATATTATTGAAACGTGTTCTTGATATATCTAATTGATTGTTTCGCATCATTGTTTGATTAAGATTCCGCATTAAATCAAACGATTGCATTGATATTTTGATAGATCTGATTACAGGGACTAACAAGTAGCATCAGAGCCTTAAAACCGAATTAAGGCCATTTTGGTATCAATTGCTTTCGAAACAATAATTCGTTTGTGGTGTTTTTGGGTTGTGTTTGGAAAAAGGATTTTGTTGTTCTTCGTGTTCATCATTTTCTTAGTGTTCTTCACTAATTTTGGAGGACATTGCGTTAGAGATCGTTTTTGGTAAATTACCAAATTTGGGTTTCATTGGATAAGGAAACACGATCAAAACCTTTATTTCGGTTAGGTTTTAGTGTTCACGGCGGCTGAATAATGTTCTCGGTAACAAGATATAGAGTTCTCGGCTTGGAAGAGTTATCGGCCAAGATATATAGTTCTCAGTCAACTGTTTTCGGTCAAACAGTTGACTTTCAGGGATCTCAGTCAAACTGGTTGACTTTCAAGGTTTTCGGTCAAAGGGAATTTATCTTGGTCTTCAGTCAAAATCAAATTACACAATCAGTTTTTTTTTTGTTTTTGTTGGTAAATGATGAGCTCTTACAACAGTACCAAGGAGGTTAGTGAAGCCTCATGCTCTCAGTCCTATGAAGATTAAATAAATAAATACCGTGAACAAAATGAATTATTAGTTAGAGAGGTTTTTTACCTTAAAAATGAAATCTATGAAATTAAGAAAGCAAATAAACCTCTTAAAGAAAACTAGAAGCACAAACTAAAGATTTAAGCAAGATTAAAGAAGAATATAGCACCAAATGTGTTCACTATCGTTTTGCCAAGGAGAAAATTGCAAACTTAACTGCCGAACTTGATGCATTAAAAGCTAAATTTAAAGATGTTGATTTTAATTTTAAGAAATTCGATGTGTCAAGTGAGATAGTTGAGTCAATGATAGAAAAACAATTAAAGTGGAAAGACAAACAGGGTGAGGGTCTAGGGTACCACTGTGAACCACCTCCCTTCAATAATAACTATACTCCAGTTTCTGAAACCATAGAGACAGAAAAATTTGTTCAACATGGTCGGCCTACTATCACTATTTCAGTTAAGACTGAACAATCCGACAAAACTGAGAATATTGAGGTGAACAATACTGATGCTTCTACTTCGTGTGCAGAGAAAGTAACAGTGCAAAACGGGTGCGAGAAAAACAAAGATAATTATAGTCTTAATGAAAACTCTTCAAAACCTAACACTTTATCTTCTGTTGCTTCAAAAGTTTGTGATAATGCTGCAAACAATTTTAAGCCACATAAAGTTGTGAAACAATTTGTTAAATGTGCTTGTACTTGTGGAAACTCAGTTGGACAGGGACCAAGTTCTGAACGTATTCCTTTCAAAAGACAACCCTGCTTTAAGTGTGGAATTCCTGGTCACATTGCCAGAAATTGTCCAAATCGTGCATATATTCCCTATTATGCCTAAGGTAGGAAGAACGTATCTCGAGGAAGATCTTTCAATAGACACTCCTCGAGATCACGTGATGGTGACTGGAATACTACCAAGACCAAAAATCAGACTCTCAAGAACAAAAAGGTCATGTCCGACAAGTGAACTTATTTGAGAAATAGTTCAGTCAAACCAAGATCGGTAAGGTTGAAGTCATCTCGGCGATCGGTCTCAAGCTCCAAAACAAGTGCTGAAGCATCCATCCGATTAAACAAGAAAATGGTTAAACCTGACTACAGATGGGTACCAAAAGTTTCCACTCCCAAATCACCTAAAAAATTCTAACATCTCTTCATTTTCTATGTTTGATAAACAGGATATGACTTGGGAACGCGTATCATGCGTAGATGGCAAAGGTCAACCCAGTTTCAAAAAGGACTACGTTCCCAAAACCAATTAATCCCGCACTCTGTGCCGAAGTAGCTATGGAGGAATATCATCAGACTTCAGTATGTTGATAGTGACTGTTCCAGACACATGATAGGATACATCTCTCATCTGCATGTCATTCAAAATTTTAATGGAGAGATGTGTCCTTTGCGGGAAAGGAAAAGGAAAGATCACAAATGGGGATTTCTTCAATTGCTGAATTACGGTTTGAATTTTCTAACTCTTCTATTCTCTGTGATAATAATGTTGATTTTCGATCGTCCAAAAACCTATTTTTTCTAAAAAAACCAAGCTCATGCTTGTAGGATTTCTTAAGATGATACGTTTCGAAGACTGAAATTTCTTTTCAATTTTATTTAGTATTTCTTATTTTCTTTCATCCTGTTTTGCTTTTAGAAAAGGAAAATTGTGACAATATTTTGGGAAGTGATATGAGTTAGTCATAAAGGGCAAACGAAATACGTGTAATGCACTAAAGTTGAATTGTCTAAACTCTTTGTTCAATGTGTTGGTAGGCATAAAGGTCTAAGACTAATGGACTAGACAATGTTGACTCATTTGGACTTAGAAAACCTCATTTGTACTGACAATACGACGCTTGGATAGATTTAACAGTAAAATAGACAAGGAGGCCTATAACATAAATTGAAGCTAACTATCATCTAGATCTGTAACTCAACACTTCATTGGTATATGGACTTGTGTCCTTAATTCTTGTGTTGACAGGGGGTAACTAAGGGGTGCTGATATATTGGGTCTGTTGGAAATCGTTATTCTTTCTTTCTTAGTCAGCCACATGTTGTCCCCTCTGCGTGATCAGAAGATCCGACCTGGGACACAACATGTGCATACAGATATGTATTATTTCTCTCTCTTAGTCGACCATATGTTGTTCCCTTTGTTTGATCGGAAGATCCGACCTGGGACACAACATATGCACTCAGATGATGTTCACTGCTTTTAAGTTAGTATATTGTCTCTTATATATATCCTACTCTCTATGTTAGTCATATGTTGTCCCCTCTGCGTGATCGGTAGATCCGACCTGGGACACAACATATGCATTCCACAATGATTATTTACTCACCTAAAGTAAAGAATTCCGAAGAATTTTCCTTGATTACCGGGGTATGCCATGAAGTAGGGAACATGTTCCAGTGTACTAACATTAACTGCACCCATAACTAAAGGTTGACTGATAGATTTTACTGGCTAAATTTAAGTGGACAACAATATCCCTGGTCGTCGTCAGACAAAATGGTCTATCTAGCAAAATAGTAGCTATATATTGTCACTCAATGATCTGTCCTGAAAAATGTCCTTTGTGTTTAAGTGGATCACAATATCAATGATTGACCAGAGCTTTTCATGAACGTGTGTGCTGATAAACCTCATTAATTTGCTTCATAACGTTTGATCCCAAAAGTTTTTGTTCTATTAGAATCTGTTTATTACATTTTTGTTTTTATTTAAATTTGTACATATTTTCATTGTTATGCACAAATTTAGGGGAGAAATTATAAAAAAATTAATAAAAAATTAAAAATTTAAAATAATAAATAATAAATAATAAATAATAAAAAAGTGTGTTTATTTTTATTTTTATTTTTATATTCGTATTTGGTTTTTGAAACGTAAAATCGAAAGAAATCATTTTTATTAAAAAAACGAGTATTTCTTTTGGGCCGAAATCGTTTAGGTGGGCAATCTGGGCCGTCTTTTTGGTAATATATATTGTGTTTTCGGCTGGTTAGGGTTTCTCACCGAAAAAAAAACCCAAACAACGATCGTTGTTTTCTCTCTTCTTTCTTCGAGTTTTTCTGCAAAAACCTACTCATTCGTTGTTTTGTTGCAAATTGTTCGGTGAATCAGATATTTTTTGGGTTTTCGATCATGGCAATGGCATATAAGTTGTTTTTGGTGAACTTGGTTTCATAGATTTGCAGGTTTTCGAGTGGATTTTTCAAGGTTTTCGAAGAATTGAGTTTGAACAGGTTCCAATGAGATTTCGGGTTTTCGGTTCAACCCGAATTCGACCGAAATCAGATGAAGATTTGACCAAAATCTGGGTTCTCGGCCGAAATCAACCAACGTTGACTGAAATCGTCTGGTCAACAAGTGATTTTGACCGAAATCAATCATTTTGACCGAAATCGACTGAAATCTTGACTTCAACTGAAAACGACTAAAATTTTGTCTTTGACCGAAATCAACTGAGAATTTGATTTTAACCGAAATCAGATGTCATACTCAATTTAATTAATTTTAAATTAAATTCTCACTTGGCTAGTTTGGTGCAGATAAATGGCAGAGCAACTTAAATTTGTAGACTCTCACAACATTGCTGGATATCTCATGGATCCACCTGCTGCTCATCAATAATTCAAATCCATGATGGTGGGTTTGAACAACTACAAGATATCTCAAGCCCTTCGTGCTAATCCAGTCATCCACAAAGACCTGATCACTGATTTCTGGAAAAATACTTCGATCAACAAGCTAGGAGCAGATGGAGTTGGTACTGTGGAATCTATGGTGAAAGGAACACAAGTGATTATCTTTGAACAAGTTATTCGAGAGGTACCTGGATTTGGTGATGCATCCACATTCCCAATTGAGTACTCTGCTAATCGCGTCAAGGAAGTTCTGGAGAGAATGTGTTATGAAGGAAACTATCCTCCCACTATCAAGAAGCTACTGCCACCCTATTAGAGGTTCCTGGCACACTCCTTTGTGATTTGCATTTCCGGAAGAAAGCGAGGCTCTGACAAAATTAGTCAGACTGTGACCTCAGACATTGTTGCTCTGGCTATGGAGTGGGATTACAACTTCTCAAAGTTCATCTTTGAAGAAATGAAGAGCAACCTCCTGGGAAAGAAAAAGGACCTATTTTTGATGTACCCCAAGTTCCTTCAAATGATCTTTAATGAAAAATATCCCCAAATCGAAAGGACGTCCGATACTTTGGATATGAAAGCTTTGGGTCCGAACACTTTTGGACTCATGAAGCAATCGAGAAAGGCTGCCAAAGTCGCTTATCAAGGATTAAAGGAGTTAGTTAAATTTGGAAAGTTTGGTGAGGTTGAAGACACTCATGCTGTTAGTTCAATCAATGCTGAGGTTGCCGACGAACACGTGGCGCCCAAACCAAAGTTTCAATTCGCCTGTGAAGAGATTGAAGTATCTAATGATGAAGAAGATCAAGAATCTAGAAAATGCATTGACATAAAATGAGTTTGAAGATTTTATCCAGCAAAGTATTTCAAACCCAAAAGAGGATGCAGCTGTCACACCGCCAGTTATGATTGAAAGAGGAAGTGACACAATGATGAAATCTTCCATACGGACCCCTAAAAAGATGGATGCTCTTATTGCAGAACTTCAGCGAACTGAAAGGAATCCTCCCCAAACAGTTCATGTTGATACTGAACCTCCATCTGAAAGTGATCCAGAAGACTCAGCCCACACTTTACTCCCAATGAAGCGAAAAATAAGAGATCCAAGGCCAGGAGTGCTTATTACAGACTCAGTTCAAAAGAAATCTACTCCGATTGAGTCTGGTTCTATGGATCAAAAAATACAAAGCCCATTCACTGAGACCTCTCCAGTGATTCAAGAAATGTCAAGCCCGTTCTCTGAGCGTATTCCTATGGATCAGGATTTTCAAAGCCCTATTGTTGAAGAAGAAGTCATACCTTCAGAAGGAGCTCAAGCTTCAGGAAGCTCTTTTGAAACACCCGAGCTGGACATCTCCAAAGGAAAAAGAAAGTTGCCTGAATCTGAATTAGTTGATGTGGTTCTGCTCCAGAACAGAGTCTTTGATCTGGAACAAAACTCTGTTGAAAAGGATTTGATAATTGGAAAGCAGGATATTCGAATCAGCAAGCTTGAGAAAGAGAACTCCGATAAAGATTCAAAGATCTTAGAGCGTCAAGCGAATCTCAGTGGTTTAACTGCTCTATTCTTTGATCTGAAACAACGCCTATTTCAGAAGTTTGGTGATGAATTTCAACCCTTGAGCGCTGAAGGAGAAAAGATCACTGCTTCTAGTTCAGGTCCCGCCAATCCAGCTTCACAATCTTCAAGTGAAAGAGCTAAAAGAGCTGCTCCAGATGCTAATCTTTATACATTCTTATCTTCTGCTTTTCTTTCTGCTCAAGAAAGAAGAGAGAAGCAAATTAGGGTTGAGCAGCTAAAAGGGAAAATTCTCTTGATGAAAAACTCAGATCAAAATGCTCTGGGTGACACCCTGAAATGTTCTTCAGGGAAACTGGGAAGATGTTCACAGACAAGTATGGTGATCGTTCTGGCATCATCATGTGGGAATACGATGCTGATAAGAAGATGTGGATCGTGAAGCGAAAGAGTGGAAGAATTGAATATTATGAGAAGAAAGTTGACTTCTTGTCCTAGACAAAAGTTGATCTTTCAGAACTCATTCACGCACCTTTCCACAATCCAACCAATGATACCATGGCATGGTCCTTTAAGAATTTTCTTGAGATTAAAGAATAAAATAACTTTGAAGACTTAAAGACTGCTTCATCGTTTACTAAGAAGGCCAAGGGTGTTATTGATCCTCGCACAAACAAAACAATGGTGAATTTCATTTGGCTACCCATAAAGCAAGCCAAAAGGATTCCTTTTCACAAGCGCTTACCTGAAAGCACTTTGGATACAATACAATTCTGGGTTTATGATGAGGCTACTGCAACGGTGGCGATCAAGCTGAAGAAAAACCAGTTTCGTATTGTTGATCCCAAAGATTTGTTGAAGTTTGGAGAACGTGATATCTGCACTTTATCAAACTTTCAGATTATCATAGAAAATAAATTATTTGAAGCTGCCGCGAAAGCTTTCACCGGTATGGTAGCTACTATTATCGACAAGAAGCTGTGGGCAGGGGCTTTTGACCAAGCAGATGTGCATCTTGTAGAGAAACCTTGAAGAGAACAGAAAGCAATAAACCAAGGGGGAGATTGTTGGGCCATATTTAGTGGTTTATGCTTTGTTTTGAATGTATAATGTTGTTCTCGGTTTTGGACCGAAATCACCTAGTGTTTTCGGCGGGCTTATTATGTATGGGCTTTAGGTTATTGGTTTAGTATAAATATGGTATGTATCTAGTCTTTTAAGGCTAATGCATTTTTGGTGAATACTAGTGATTCACGACTGAAGTGTGATTGGATGTACTTGACAATTACTCAATAGAATTGTGTGCGTTCATATTATTGAAACGTGTTCTTGATATATCTAATTGATTGTTTCGCATCATTGTTTGATTAAGATTCCGCATTAAATCAAACGATTACATTAATACTTTGATAGATCCGATTACAGGGACTAACAAGGAACCTCAATAACCGTTCTGTTGCTAGAAAATCAATTATCGCTTGTATATGCCTACGATGGTAGTGATGGTGTTATATAGGCCACAAAATCATCACCATGAAACCCAACAAGAAAATCGAGAGTTAGGGTTGGATGTCGACATGGAGGAAGAACAAAAAGGATGGTAGTGATGGTGTTAGTGGTTTACTTATAAGTGATTGTTGTGTTCGTTGGAATTGAGGGATGGCAGTGGTGGGTTTAGGTTTACCGGAAGAAGAGAAATTGGGAAGAGATCGCCACCCTTGACCACCTCTGTTGGGTCAAAAATATGGTTTATACTTTACTTTTCTAGGCAATTGTATTTTTCAGTCTAGGACCGTAAACGACCTGGTGTTTACGACTGTTTGGTTAAAAGTTTGGGTGTTCACGGTTGTAAGGTGTTCACGGCCGTGAACATGTTCATGGCCGTAAACCCATTTGTAGTCCCTATATATAGTTGTAAGGGTGAGGAGTGTACACGACTAAGAGAGAGGATATTAAGTGTGTGTACTCTAAGGTGTGATAGAGAGAGAAAGTAGAGAGAAGAAGAGAGTGTGTGTGAATCTTGTAAGGAACTTCATTCTAATCATCAAATCATTCAAGATTCATCTTATTCTTCTTCTCCTTCTTATCTATCTTGATCTTGCATCATCCAATTGATTGGGATTCCGCACCATCAATTGGATCTGATTGATACGTCAAGCAAATTTGGGACTTACAGTTGGTATCAGAGCTTGGATTGTATCAATCATTTTGGCAAGATCTGGGGCGTTTTTGATATTTTTCTTAAAAGATTTTGCATTTTTGGATAGATCTTGGCAAAATAGTGGGGTTTGTTCTTCGTGTTTTTCATAAAAACGAGTTTTTGATCGAGTTTTGGAGCAAAAAGTGGTGAAAAACTTGTTTTTTTCGCGACACGAAGAAGGGTTCTCTGCCGGACTGAAGAAGGGTTCTCTGTCGGACAGAAGAAGGGTTCTCGGCCGAGTCCGAAGAAACTTTCACGGCCCGAAGTTCGTTTACGACCGAGAAGTGTGTGCGGTCCGAGGTCTCGCACGTTCACGGTTCAGCCTCGTTTACGGTCTGTAGTCTCGTTCTCGGCCAGCACGTGTTCGAGTCTTCGATCAGCGGGTCCGAAGTTCGCGGCCAACAAATATTCAAAATTTTTTGGGGGTTGCTAGGATTCGAACCCGGGTCTCCTGCCTCATCCTTCCAGCGCCTTACCAGTTGGACTAGCAAGCCACACGCTACATTCCTTCACGATTTAATTCAAAAGGCTTCGCTGCGCTTCAACCTAATTTCGCAAGTTTGAGACTTTTAGCCCAAAAATCAAATTTTCAAATTTTCAAATCTCATTTTCAACCAAAAATTTAACTTTTAATTTTTAACTATCTAAATTGACTTTTGACCTTAAAAATTACCTTTGACTTTTAACTTTGACCTCCAAGTTTGACCTTTGACTTTAAACTTTGACTTTCTCGTTTAACCTTCAAATTTTCATTTTTAGCTTTTCGGTTTGACTTTTAAGTTTGACTTTTTAAATTTGACTTTTAAGGTTGACTTTTGAGTTTTTAGTCAAAGGGCATTTATGGTAAAAATGAGTTCCGCAAACATCCCGGTCAATGAAGTTTTATGTTCTAAATCTTGTGAAACTACGATTAAATTTGTTTGCGAACAAATCGATTTATTAAAAAGGGAGAACGAGGACCTTAAATATGAGAGGTACAACCTTAGGAAAGACCAAAAACCCTTAAAAACACAACTAGACGCCAAAATCAAGGACTTCCGAAAACTTCAAGAAGAATATAGCAATAAATGTGAAAACTATAACTATATTAAGAGACAACTTGCCTCTGTGACTGCCGAGCTTGACACATTGAAAAGCAAATTTGAAAATGCATATTTTAATTTCAGAAAATTTGATGTGTCAAGTGAGGTAGTTGAGATGACAACTATAACCCACCCCTTGAAACTAATGAGGAAGAGACACCTGCTCAGTTTGGCCCACTCTCTGAACCAGCTCCAGTCAAGACTGAACAATCAGGGCCAACTGAGGGTATTGAGATGAAAGATACTAATGATTCTACTTCCTGTGCAGGTAAAGTAGCGGAAGATGAGGACAAGGAGAACAGAACTACTTCTAATTCTGTTGATGTTGTTGATTGTCAAACAAATAACTCCTTGAACTCTGAATCCGTTGCTTCTAATTCAGTCACCTCTAATACACCTGCTGTTGGTAAATACAGGCCACCAAAACAAGCAAATCAGAGTGTCTGTTGCAACAGTGCTTGTGGGAACAGTAAGAGACAAGGCAAGGGTACGCCACCAGGGGTAGGAAGAAACAATTCCTATGTGAAGAAAAAGACATGTTTTCACTGTGGAACACCTGGACACATTGCCCGAAACTGTCCAAATCGTGCATATGTTCCCTACTACGCACAAGGCTGGCAGAACGCGCCAAGAGGGAGATACTTCAAAAGAAACCCTTCGAGGCCACGTTCAAACAATGGTGACAGGAACGCGCAAAAGGCCAAGAATCAAAATCCCAAGGTCAAGAAGGGTATGCCGGCCAAGAAGTCCAATCTAAGAGATGCTCCAGTGAAATCAAGATCAGTCAGATCAAAGTCATCTCGAAGATCGGCTTCAAGTTCAAAATCAAGCGATAAGGAACCCATCGGATCGAACAAGAAATGGGTTAAACCCAACTACAAATGGGTACCAAAGGTTCAATCTCCCAAATGTCCTAATGCTTCTAACGTTTCTTCATCTTCTGTTTGTGATAAGAAGGATATGTCATGGGAGAGAGTTCCTTGCACAGATGACAAAGGTCAACCCAGTTTCAAAATGGACTGGGTTCCAAAGACCAACTAATTCCGCTCTGTGTCGGAGCAGCTATGGAGGCATATCATCAGACTTCGGTTTGTTGATAGTTTCAAAATGGACTGGGTTCCAAAGACCAACACTCAGAACTTTGTTTGAGAGTATGTTTCCTTTGCGGGAAAGGAAGAAAGGAGAGGATCACACATGGGGTTTTTGTGCTTAACGATGTGAAGAATTTTCGGATCTGTTATGAGATTATGCGTGCTGTTCTCAGACCTTCTGGATGCAAATTCAATCGGTGACTTACGGTTTGAGTTTTCTTCTCGATACTCTTGAGTTTATCTTAAACTGATTCGTTTTGAAGACAATTTTTTATTTTCTTGTATGTATGTTGGGAAGTGATATCAAGAAAGTGATAACGGGCAGTCTAAACATGTGTAAGGGACTGAATCTGAATTGTCTAGACTCTGTGTCAATGTGCTGGTAGGCACGAAGGATTTGACAGTGTGGATTTAGATTGGATTGTTTGGACTGACCATACGACGCTCAGGTAGATTGAGCAGTGAGATAAACACAGGAACCCACGGGATACACTAAATTAATAGGCATCTACAACAGTGGTTCAACTTTTCATTGATGTACGGACTTATGTCCTTAATTCTGGTTTTGATATGGAAACTAATGGGTTTTGATAAAGTAGGTCTGTAGGAAATTATTTTCTTGCTTTCTATCTGTCAGTCATATGTTGCTTCCTCTGCGTGATTGGAAGAGATCCGACCTGGATTGCAACATATGCAACTCTAATTCTACGCACCTCCTTATCTATGAAATTCTTTCTATCTGTTAGCCATATGCTGTCCCCTCTACGTGATCAGAAGATCCGACATGGGACACAGCATATGCAACATTCTATCTCTATAACCCTCTATATCTGTTAGTGATATGTTGTCCCCTCTGCGTGATTGAAAGAGATCCGACCTGGGACACAAGATATGCATCTATCTCTAAATCTGTCTTCCTCCTTAAAAATTGTCTATTCACCTAAAGTAAGGAGTTCTTTGGAAGTTCTTGATAACCAGGGTATATCTGGAAGTGGGGAACATGTTCTAGTGCA